CCCGGAAAGAGAATTGTTTCATTATAAATTTGTATGATAGGATGGCAGTAGAATTAGGTATCAAGTCTTTAAGGGGATAAACTAAAAGCACCATTAGCTTCAGAAGTTTTTTAAGGTTATTAATTCCTCTAATTGCAAAACTGCTTGGGATAGTGTTTTCCTGGCAGTCGGCCCAACACAGAGTTTGTTCACTTAGGTTTTTTGTTTTTTTTAACAAAACACCTTAAGATATGAAAAAAAAAAATGCTAGCAAAACAATCTGCATACCTGCATCATACACAAAATAAATGTGATAAGGAACGTTACTTTCAAAGATACATCTTTTGTTCTGGATGACATCGACGTTTCCCATATTAAAAAAAAAAGCAGCTGTCATTTTGCCGAATGATTAATGAATGCCTTGTAAAGTTTGTTTCTAACTTATAATTATTCAACCTCAGAGGCTTTTAGGGGTGTTTTATGATGAGAAATAAATTGGTATTTGCAGGTTTACTGCACTAAGACAAATTTTGAATTAGCGTCATACTTAGACTGGACGTCAGTCCGTCACGGTTCTCCCAGATTCGGAGACGGGTTGGGTATCAACACAAAGACGGGGCCACACTCTATTTCTGATTAGAGAATCTGACCACAGATTGTTTCACAGGCAGCCCAAGCTCACGTCTCACTTGCTCAAATTCTAAACGGTTCCTCTCGTAAGTTAACACCGAGTCACACAACGCGTGACGCTTTCATGAATTAATCGTTTGCTTTTTCTCGACACGTGAGCTTGGGCCATCTGTGGTTGTTTTAACAAAGAAATAACCAAGTGTTGACAGCTGAAGCGACCAATGGATTGATTCGACACAATTTGTCTTAGAAACAAGCCAGAAATAACAATACCTTGAATACTATTTGTGATAAGAGTACTTTATTTACTTGATTAAAAACAGATTAACGAATGTAGACGGTAGTCTCATCTAATATTTCAGTGCCTCACAGGCGGATCAAAATGGTCAAATAGTGAGCTGACTTCACTCAGAACACCCACCACTGAGTCTTCTGCTGTGTAAATCAGTTTAAGGTGCATTGGCGATGAACAGAATCTCAGCGTTAGGAAATTCGGGCTTTGAATTTTCCACCAAAGTCACTTTTCCAGTGTAGTCACATCCCACATAGCAGCCGGTTTTGACGTGTTTGAGCATGGTGTAGCTCCAGAAATAGTCAGGCTCAAAGATATCGCTTTCGTCATCGTGCAAAGAAATTTCCTTGCAAAACGGAAAGCATCTTTGAATGAGAAATAATCTTGATTATGCAATTAATGACGGACAGATTGAATGACTGACTGAATAAATTCATGAACGAGTGAATGAGCGGGTGAGGGAGTGAGCGAAATTAATTATGAATGAATAAATGAATTGGTGAAAGCTAAAATAGATGAATGAACGTTGAATTGTATGAATGAAATAACTCCTTACTTCGGTTTGGATTTCTTGTCCGCATCCAATTCCTTTCATTGCATACTGCTTGTTTAGCTTTGTGTCCGTGAATAGAAGGGCCACAGCATTGCTTTTATTCGGTGACTTATTATTCACATCAATGACCTGTATGTGAGCTATGATAAGGATTTAAGGAGAACCAGTTATCATTATTGACTTCAGCAATGAGGAGATATCGAAAGAAAAAAGACCGTCTTGGAATACTCCTCATTAAAACTAATGCAACAACCGGTTCTATCTCATGGTTCAGAGCTCAATATCCTCGTTAGAGGTAGCGGTCGCAGGTTGTTCACGATGTATTGTGTTTGATAAGTTTGAGTTGCATGTTAATGGACTTCATTTGATATTTTCTTAAGTTGTAGAATCAATCAGAAGACATTTAAGCACAGAAAAGGCAAAAATTCATATGTATCAAAGCGGCTTAAGTCAAGTTGACTCAAATTATTTCAAGTTTATCTTAATATCGAAGAGGATATCAATAGCTCTACGAGAAGTGAGTATTAAAATCCAGCGTCCTGATGTAAATCTAGTTTACTACAACGACGGGTGCGAGCTTCCGCCAAAGTGATCATCAGCTAACAGGAAATTACATAAAACGTATTAACTTCATTTGCTACAATGACTTAAAATCCTTGCAGAGGTAAATTTTTATCGTTATTAGAAAGAGCTTCAATGAGAGATGGAAGGCAACCTTCCCTTCCATCGTGCTCTCCTCATCGGGTCAAACAATTTCGCGACGCCGATGTTGCTTATTTTTGTATAAATAACATAACTGTTTACTTACTATCATCAGGCTCCTCAAAAGTTCCACCACAAATCACTATGTTTTCACTGGGACTCCTCTTCATAACACCACCATTTTTGTTGCTGACTGCGCTCCAAAAGCGATAAGTAGAACCTACCGTAAGTTGATGGAACTTAAAAGTCGAGTTCCCTACAAAACCGTCATCCGACGTAGCCAACTCAGTCGTATACAGATAAAATGTATGTTGGCCTCCCGAAATTGACATATTACGTGGTGTTTGGTTCTCCTTCTCTTTAGCCTGAAAAGGTAGCAGATATAATCAGCTTAGTATAATGATGCAGGATATGCTGATTTCCTCCTTAATAATGTACATGAAAAATACTACACACTTCTGATTGGCTGAAAACGAGTGCATTCTCATGAATACGAAGCGATGATACGAATGTGAATTGCAAATAGCGAGTGTACGCTTTCAAATTTCGTCTGTCTTGACTTCCTGTAATGTTTTTTTATGTACATTATCAACAAGTAATAAAATGATTTCTCTCGAAATTTGGTGTGATAAGCACTTGAAATTTTCGAAAGACTACAAGTTGCACTTTCCCTACGGGCTCTTTCAATTTTGTTCTCTTTGAAAAATTCACTCGTGCTAATTGACACCAAATTCACTCGAAATCATTTTCTTACCTATACTTATTGCATGGCTGCGTTGATGGGAAGAGGCAAGAATTAAGATTTTTTTTCCTCACGAAAGGGAAAAACAAACGAAACGAAGCAAACAGAAACAAAACGAACAGAAGGAAAAGAAACGAAAAAAAAAAAAGAAGAGGAAAAGAAAAGAAAGGAAACGTAAAGGAAACAAAAGAAAAAAACAAAGTAAATAAACAAAATTAAACGAAACTAAACAAAACTAAAAACAAACAGACAAACAGACAAACAAACAAAATTAAACTAAAAAAAAAACAGACCTAAACTGAACAAGACAAAATAAACGATACGGGACTCACTAAACTAAAAGTCCAAGGGCAACTGCAAGTT